AGTGCTCTTGGCAAATTCCTGCACTCCCTTCCATCGACCACCCATATCCTCCTTAGGGGTGACTTTAATGCTCCTCATAGGCTCTGGGGTTACCCCCAAACACTCAAACCAGGTCGCCTTTTACACTGCCTAGCCCAAGAACGCCATCTCACCCTTCTTAATACTCCTGACACCCCTACTTAAGCGGGCACTGTTTCACAGCGTTCCACTACACCCGATCTCACGTTCTCTTGGAGTTCCCTTCCTTTTCACTGGCAGGTGTCCGCTGAAAATCTTTTCAGTGATCACTTTCTCATACACATCACCACCCCTCTTTCCCACAATAGGCGGAAACGAGTCACTCACACTGACTGGGAAGCATTCCGTAATAACCTTTTGTCTGACTCATTTAAAACTTACGACGACTGGACGTCGCGGATCTCCGCAGCAATGACATCCTGTAGTCGCCGCGCTCGTTTTCAACTCCCCATTCCTGACCCTGATCCTCCGCTTATGGCGACGTCATCAACGTTTGAAACGCGCTCTCCGCTCCCAGCCACACAACGTCCAACTTTCCTTCCGAATTGATGCTCTGCAGGCTGAAATTATCGCTTACGGCACTTCTCTCGAGCACTCTCGTTAGAACACGCTGTGTGACGGCCTTGACTCCGCACTGCACTTGCGCTCTACATGGTCTCTGTTTAGGTCTCTCTTAGGTACCAAGCCTGCCGTTGCTCCCACCCTAGCTAAAGCTCTCGCTCAAGGGACTCCATCTGATGTGTTTGAAAATTTAAAATCTGTGTATCTCCCACCCACCCCTCACACCTTCCTACCCAGATTACTGTGGCGAAGCTAACCCAGACATGGACCGCCCATTCACGCACAGGGAGCTGGAAGCTGCCTTAGCCACTCAATCTACCCGCTCGGCACCTGGTGAGGATGAGATAACATATACTACATTACGTAATCTCCCCGACAACGCGAAGGAATTCCTCTTACACGCATTCAACGAAGCATAGAACAGCGGCTGTCTTCCAAGCTCTTGGACATTATCTCTAATTTGCATGATTCCGAAGCCAGGCAAACCTCCATCTCTCTCTAACCTCCGCCCTATCTCTTTGACGTGATGCGTTGGCAAGACTCTTGAGCGAATGGCCTTTACTCGACTGTCTGATTTTATTGAGGCGAAAGAGTTTTTCCCTCCTCTTATTGGCTTCCGACGCCACGTTTGTGCGCAGGACATGTTCCTTGTTCTTCAGCATACTTTTCTTTCACCTTCTCGTAGTCAGATCCATGCGCTTGTAACCGTCGATGTACGGAAGGCATTCGATGGCGTGAGTCATGACCACATACTTGCTCAGCTCTCCTCCTTGTCATGTGGCTCCCGCATGTATTCTTACATCCGATCATTTCTTTCCAATCGAGTTGCTCGCTTTAGAGTCGATACTCATTTGTCTAACCCACACTCCCTCACCCGCGGCACTCCTCAAGGTGCCGTACTATCTCCTACTCTATTCAATATGGCTATGGCCCCCCTTGCCTCCCAACTGTCCCAAATACCTGACCTCCACCATATTTTTTATGCAGATGACATCACTCTCTGGTGTACGTCTGGATGTCCCGGCCACAGGCAGGATATTTTGCAACGTGGCCTGGACCTTATCGCTTCCTTTCTCGCTACTGCTGGCCTGTCCCCTGCACCGGAGAAATGTGAACTACTTTTGCTAAACAGGTCTGCGTACCAGCGCTCCCACAATACCCTCATCTCCCTACATCTTTTTAGCTCTCTCATCCCCACTGTTCAGCAATGCAAAGTTCTTGGCTTCCCTTTGCACGTGACAAAGAACGCGCAGGCCCTACACCACGCTGTGAGGACTTGCCACTCGGTGACCCACCTCCTGCGACGCGTTGTCACTCAGCAGTCGGGGCTCCACGAGGCTCATGCGTGCCGGGTTGTTCATGCGTGCCGGGTTGTTCATGCGTGCTGGGCAGTCGGGGCTCCACGAGGTATGCGTGCCGGGTTGCTCATGCGCTTGCCCTTAACAAGTTCTTGTACTTTGTACCCTACGTTCATTTCACCGAAACACAACTCAACACACTCGAAAGAGCTCTATTAGGCCTCTACAAGGCAGCTCTAAACCTCCCTCTCACTACCTCTACCACTAAGCTCTTTGCTGCCACAGGCCTCTTCTATCCATTACGTTCTCTTATTTCTCTGCACCACGACTCTCAGATTGCCCGTCTTTCTCTCACTCGTCAAGGCCAATGGCTATTAGCCCAAGCCGGTATCCCTCACATTCCCGTTTCCGTTCCCACCTTGCCTTCTGCCGCTAGCACCGCTGCTTCTAACCTTCGCATCCTTCCCCTCCCATCCAATATGTCTCCCCTTATTCACGCTGGCCGGCGTCATGCGGCAGCACAGCATCATTCTCCTCCTCTCTCTACACAGGGAGTTGCCTACACGGATGCCTCATACATGGCTCCTCGGGGCTCGTGTGGCTACGTTATCTACCATCCACACCTTTCGGCACCTGACACGCACACCAGCGGGCCATACTTACACCCGCCAAATGTACTTTCGCTCGAGGTCCTTTCCATGGTCCACGCCATGCAGTCATTTTCCTCCCTCCCTTCTCTCCCCGAGTACACGATTTACTCCGACTCTCACGCCGCCATCCGTCACATACAGAACAATACGTTGCCCCCTGCTCTTCAACAGGAGGTCGAGCGAGCGGCCTCTGCTCTTCAACCCTCCACTGTCTTCCTCCGCTGGATTCCTGGGCATTCGGGTATTAACGGCAATGAGCTAGCTCATCAGCTTGCCCGCGACATATTGCACCGGGCACCGTTCATTCCCTGGCCCACACCTTCGGAAGACAGTGAGAGCTCCGCGAATAACGATGGGCAGATCTCCTTGCGTCACACTATCAAGGAGGTATATCTCCAGCTCCGGCTCGACAAGCGTCTTTACCCTCCCCCTCATCCATCACTCACTGCGCTCGAGGCTCGAACTCTACGGCACATCCAAATGAACTGCCTGATAAACCCCTCTCGCCTTTTCCTTTATAAATATAGGTCTAAACCCTGCTGTCCTAATTGTCCCTCCCCATACGCTGACCTGTCACACTGCCTGTTTTACTACCCAACTGCTCAGCAATCTAGCTATTACCCTCCCCCATCCCTTTCCATCACCTCCTGGCTCAACTGGATCGACGCCGAAGGGGAAGAACAGCGTCGACTGATCGCACAGGCGGTCGAAATGCTCGGCCTGTAAATTTGGCTGAATAAAAGTCTATTACTACTACTACTACTACTATACTTGTATGATGGCAAAGCTGTTCTTGAGGCTGCGCTACGGTCGAACTTAGTGAAAATGTTTGAACACAAGTGACCACTTCAAAAATTTATACTGTGCTTACCTCACTACATTCTCGTATGACAAAAACAAAAATTGTTCTCCAGGCTCTGCTACGGTCAACTTATCAGACACATTGCCAATCGAAAGTGCCCTTTTAAAATTTTAATGTGCCTCACCTTCTTACTGCGAAAAAGTTGCCTTTCAGGCTCCACTACGGTCGAACTTTTCAAAAACAAGTTCAGGCAACGTCATACTGAAAGTGACCCCTTAAAATTCTCAAATGCTTCACCTCACGGCACTCCCGTATTGCCGCAAAGCTGCCTTTCAAATTCTGCTATGGTCGCAAATGTATTGACTTGAGAAAATGCTGGTTCTAACATTGAGGTGATGGATGTGGCCGAGGCAGGGGGAGCAATAAATGCTGTTTTGGACCTGAAATTCAGGCAGGAGGTTCGAAAGATCGGACGCTGAAAACTTTTAGCTTCCGAAATTTTAAATGTTGTGGTATGTTGACATCTATGAGGCAGATTTGGTACTTCTATCTCGAAAAGAGCAACACCACATCAGTTGGGCTTCCACAGAAAACGAAAGAAGAGGAGAGGCTTAGGAAATAGCATCTTTGCCTTTCACGAGTTAAGTCGTGTACTACAGTTGAAACCCTATATAAAAGACATCCACCAGGAAGCAATTCTAGTCTTCTATATAAAGTGTCTTATAAGCAGGGTACCACATATGCATTTTTTATAAACCCCTATTTTAATAATACTGATTGTTGGCCTAGTTGGTATTTACTTAATGGCATGATTTGGCCGCAAAAGAGACACACACAAGAAAAGGAACACTCAAACGACAAGCCGCCTGTGCTTGTCGTTTGAGTGTTCCTTTTCTTGTGTGTGTCTCTTTTGCGGCCAAATCATGCCCTATTTTAATCTTGGCACACGGGTGTTTTTTATACCCATTCGTCCCTTACATCAGTGTCTCTTATAAAGGTGTTCGACTGTAATGTGATTCGGCCTCTGCATTGCCTCATTCTTGATACTGTAATACAACTATGAAATACCACTCTGTCAGCGCTTTATCAAACAAGTGAAAAGAAACACTTTCAAGTTGCTATCTTATAAGAATATGTCTAAGAATCTGCGTTTTTTTTCTTATGCAACTTCATTTCAATCTATTTGGAAAATTTTCTAAAATATTGTAAAATCTTCTATTCAACTCACACATTAATATCTGAATTCACTTTGCAGCTAAAATTTTGCTATTCGCACAGCTCTACTTATAATCCTAAGCCTCTCGTGGCTTTATCATGCCGTATTTATGATGAAAGAATAAATTATGTGCCTTTGGTATGCATGTGGCGAGAACAACATTATTAGTAGCCTGTCTCGTCTAAGTATGCTTCAGTATAAAAGAGATTAGGATTACGGTAATGAAAGAGCATACCTTATCTGTATTTTAAGATAAGGTTGCCAAGCACAACAATAACTAGTGCAGATCGTCAACATGGGTTCACTGCTTCTTGTTTATTAGCACGCTGCCGAATCTATTAAATGCTTGTATCTACAGATAAGCCCAACTATATTTCCATGGCATACAAGGCATGCCCATAATAATGATGCAGCAGCCCAAAGAGCTGAAAGTGGACATGTTGTCAGGCACTTACCGTCTGGGTCCACGGAATTCTGGGCAGCTTGAACTTCAGAGTCTTGTTCTTTATCATCCTGCGCCTTCTGTGGAGGTTGGCTTTTCTGGTCCCCTGGATCATTCACTGGTGCGTCTGCCAATTCCCGATGGTTACCTCCGTTTTGACATGTGTGGCTTTCTTCCACTCGATCCTGCTCACTCTGCTCTCTTGTGGGACTCCTCAAACATTCAGCATCCTGATTTGTTTGGCACCTATTCGCAATATCCTGCTGTTTCTGCACTGGTGATGTCTCCAACTCTGGCAGGCAATCTACATCCATGTGATCACTGCCACCACTTACTGCAGCCATCATGCTCAATGCTCACCAACCTGCAAAAGTAAAACACATAAGGACTCATTGATGCAAGCACCTCTAGAATATCATCCGTCATCATTAATATTCAGGAAAAAAATTGAACGGAAGCGTGTGTGAACATATGGGTACCAAGACAACAAATATGAAGACCTGGCATGAAGTTGGCTGAGACTTACTTGTTGAATCAATGCGCTCTGTGAGTTTTACTCAACTCAGTGTAATGCCACTTATTAGAATATCAATACACTGCGTGTTTCAATACACAGAACTGAGAACTTGAGAAGAAATTTTACAGAAAAACAAATGGAGCAAGACCCTCAATTTTCCTTAACAGCTTCAACGACACTAACACAAACACAGAGAAACGGGACGATTTGAAATATAGCAGATGCGGCAGGCACTAGTAATCGTGGTGATTTATACTTGGTCTTCTCAAGCTTTCCATTCCTTTTCACCACACTGTAAGCTGTTCAAATGTCCTTCACTTGGATAGTTGAAATTTCGTGAACACGGGTGTGGTTAGTGTGGTGAAAACATTTAATAACCATTAAATGGTTACAGAGAGGTGATTGGGTTGGGGCCTTATTGGCCTCCTACCCTCACAGCACTAGGTGGAACCCCTATTCCGGGGCTCCATTGGCAAGCAACGCCGCCCGCACCCATTGAACGAGAGCCTCTTGGGCCTTCGGGTCTTGACAGCCGAGCAGGGCTGCCTCCCAGTCCTCTCTCGTGGGATTGGGGTTGGGGGGATAGATGGATTAGACTGGCACGCCCAGACGATGTGAAAGGTGTCAGCCACCTCACCACAGAACTGGCACGTGCCATCAAAGGATGAATTGAAATGTTTTAGCACCGCCGGGCACAGTACAGTATTGGTAAACAGTTTTAAAAGGAGGCGCTTGTCAGCGCGATGCAGTCCCTTACAAGGGTCTGGATAGCGCCGGTGCTCCTCCTTGTAGTAATTGGTAATACCTTTGAATGAAAGGGCCAAATTGTCTGATTGCGAGTAGGCTTCCAAAGACAAGGAGATAGCCCGGGAAGAGAGTGCGCGGGCGGCCTGATCGGCCTGTTCGTTACCCCTGAGTCCCTGGTGACCGGGTGCCCAAACCAGATTTCGCGGAGTTGGATTAACGTATCGGCAGCTAGGTTCCAGTATGCGCTGAGCAAGCTGTGAAGCCCACCCTAGCTGATAGTTCCGACAGGCCCCTCGTGAGTCGGTGATGATATGTTTAGAGCAGGGATAGGTGAGAGCCAGAGCGATGGCAATCTCCTCCGCGTGTGTTGCGCTGTAGGCTTTGAAAGTGAGCCCGTTTACGGTGTTTGCGTTGTGTATGACTGCGGCCGTATACCACACCCCATGGTGCGGGCCGGCAACGTCCACGTAGCACACGTGTTCCTCTTGACCAAAGTGTCGCTGCACAGTGGCGGCGACCACTGTGGTTTTCTTTGGACATGTTGCGGGGAAGGGGTCGGACCCGGAGGGCGCGTCTCCAAGGTTCTGGCACTCTCATCCTTTCCTCAAAATAGTAATCGTGTTTGATGTGTATTCGGTCCAAGAGGCGGCGACCGGAATGGGTCTGTACAAGGCGCGTGTATTGGTTAACGAGGTGGGCTTCTCGAAGTTCCCGGTAGGTATTCACCACGCCTAGGGCCAGAAGTCTCTGGTTGGACATGGTGACAGGGAGGTCGAGAGCCCGCTTGATAACTTTACGGTGGATGACCTCGAGTTGATCATCCTCGTGTTTGCGTAGGTGCAAGTAGGGAGTCGAGTAGAGTATTCTACTCGTTACGAAAGCATGGGCAAGCCGCATTGCATCCCTGCTTCGTAATCCACCCGGCTTGTTGAAGACCCGGCGGACCATACGGCCCACCTGGTCTCCCACCGTGCGAAGTTTGGCTATTGTGGTGTCGGCCTTGCGTTGGTGGTGTATGAAGAGGCCAAGGACGCGGATCTCCTTGGCCTCATGGATCGGTCCCAAGGGAAGACTGATATGGAGCTGAGTTGTGTCCTGAGGGGAGGGACGTACGTGCACAAATTCTGACTTAGCCGGGGCACACTGGAGTCCGCAGTAGGAGTTCCCCTCGAGCCGATGACGTAAGGCCCATGTTCCTCATCTTGTATGCGTATGTAGGCTTGACGGTCTGTAAGAAACTGTCTAACATAATTGAATGTTTTATAACCACAGTTGGTCTGACTGAGGTGGTCAAGGATTACCTCATGCTTCACGTTGTTGAATGCCCCTTTAAGATCCAAGGCCAGGACTACCTTGTCATTGTGGGGGCATTCAACAGGATCTAATATGTCATGGTGGAGCTGTAGAAGTATATCCTGGGCTGACTTCTGAGGGCGGAATCCAAACATGGTGTCCGCAAAAGTGTGCTGTGTTTCTAGAAACTCGGAGAGTCTGTCGCGCACCATCGTTTCCATCAGCTTGCCGACACAAGACGTGAGAGAGATGGGGCGAAGGTTCTCCACGTCAATAGGTTTACCTGCCTTCGGGATGAAGGTCACGAGAGCTGATTTCCATTCAAGAGGGAGAGGAGTTTCTCCGTCCCAAATGCTATTGATGTATTTGAGGAGCGTGGCGTAGGCTGCGTCGGGAAGATTGGCCAACAGTTTGACCGTGACCTGGTCACGCCCTGGTGCAGTGCCACGCTTCATCTTGCGTAAGGTCGCCTGGAGGTCGTGGAGCTGGAATGGGGTGTCCAACTGCGTGTTCTTTTTGCCTGCGTAGGAGTATGCGGCCGTCCGGGGGTCCTTGGTGGTGCACAGGTATCGGTCCCTGAGCGTGTTTGCCAGCTGTGTTGTCGTTCCTGTAAAGTTGTGCATGACCTTATGTAAGTGACGTTGAGTTTCTGTGCGTGTTTGTGTTGGATTGATGAGAGCGCGAAACAGGCGCCACGTGTTGCGACCAGACATCTGGCGTGCAGCCATGTTGCACCTGTCCACCCAGTTAGTGTCGGCTAGCTGAGAAGCATATTCCGCAGCTTGCTCCGTGAGTTCTAGGATGCATTTCTTGAGGCGTCTGTTATGTTTCTGTTTTTTCCATCGTTTGGTGAGGCTGCGGCGGGCCTGCCAAAGATAGAGGAGGTGGTTGTCCACGTCCGTTTGAGTTTCCGTGAGCTGTATCAGCCGTTCGTGTTGTTTCAGTGTAGACGTCAGTGATTTAGACCAGGTGTCGTATCCCGACTGGAGAGGGTCTACAATAGGTAGAGTGGTGCGGAAAGTTGTCCAGTCTGGGATATGAGCTTGTGTAAGTGGACGTTTTAAGGGATGCATGTACACGGTTGTGTTTAATACACAATGATCACTACCGAGAGTGTCCTGTGTGTTCAGCCAGTCGGCATGGCGTATGTTGCGTGTAATTGTGAGGTCCGGGCAAGTATCTCGTTGAACAGAGTTGCCTACACGTGTTGGGCTGGCGGGATCAGTGTGGAGGGTGAGTCCAAGTGTAGAAAGAAGTTCCGCAAGCTTCCTTCCACGCGTGTCCTCTTGTGGGTAACCCCATAACCTGCTTGGGGCATTGAAGTCGCCGACGATCAGGAGGGGGTCCCTTTCTGCCACCTGCAAAGCTTGTGTGAAAGTTGCGCTGAACGTGATGTTCTTAAGCTTTGGGGGACAGTAAATGTTTAAAATATGAACAGGTGGGTCAGATCGCCTTATAGGCAGCACCGACACCATCATGTATGGGAAAGGCGGTGTTGTGGGGAGTGTGAGTTCCTGGGCGGTATATTGCTTGTGAACAAGTATACATGTCTCCGGGTTGTGTTGAAATGTAGTGTAATTTGTGAGTTTTACGTCCGTGCCGGGTTCCTGAAGGGCAACCACGGCAACGAGGAACTCAAAGGTCTCAAGATAGAGGCGGAAATGAGCCCGCTTCTTGTGGTTCTTGAGACCTCTGCAGTTCCACTGTGTTAGTAACAACGGCTGAGTTGCTCTGGCTCGCGACCTAGGGTTGGAGGCCATGTTCGGAGATGGAGGGTGGGGTTGTGTTGTTAAGATTACTCAGTTCACTAGCACCCTGTGCTGACGTGCTGGAGTCTTCAAAAAAGTCAGACTCATATGGAATCACTCTGTTAAATTTTGAGGGGCGATTAACGTCCCTAATGGGCTCTACGCGCTTAAGGACGCGTGGATTGTCTTGTATCCACTTTTGGATAATGTGAGTTACTGTTTGTGTCACCTGTGCGATGACAGTCTCCATATGACGCGCGATGGTGTCGTGGATAATTTTGGGGAAGTCGGCCAATTGTGTTTCTATTGCATTCCCCTGGGTCTCCAGGGCCGCGACGCGACTCTCTACAGTAGTAGGAATCTCCCTGTCTGTTATATTTTCCTCTTCGTCGCTCAACGAGGGCTGAGTAGTGAGACTGGTTCTGAGCGAGTCAAGTTCGCTGGCTAGTTTTTCATTCTGAGATCGCAAAAGGGCGAGCTCATGCCTGAGTTTTTGTGTTTCGGTAGTGCTTGTGGCAGAAGAAGGTGGAGAGGAGAGAGAGGAGGGTGAGGAGGCGACCTCCACCCAACTGCCTACCTTGGGTTGATTGCGTGCAGCGTTGCCAGATGGAGCGCCGAAAGCTGGAGATTCCGCCGCGCCAGGTGGTAGCGTTGCCGTTGCTGCTTTGCCAGGAATTGGCGCTTTGCCAGTTGACCGGCGCTTTGGTTTTGTTGGGGTCCCCGATGTCCTGGACCCTGGTTGCTGAAGCCTGATGAATTTTTCAGTGCATTCGCGGGAGCTGGTGAGGTGCGGACCCCCGCAAACTATGCATGTTGGGTTGCATTCGTGGGGGGTCATCCCCTCAGGACCAGCGCCCACGTTTTGGCCACAAAGGCTGCATCTTTCGGTGACCGGGTTGGGACAGATATCCGCCCGGTGCCCCAGTGCACCACAGCGGTAGCACGCTGGCACTGTCTTCTTGTACTCCCTGACGGGAGTCAGTTCTGTGTTATAGTGGACAAAACGCGGAACGTTCCTTCCCGCGAAAGTCAACACAGCTACGTTGGAGTTCCCCAGCTTGCGAGCATAGACTAGTTCACCGCCACGCCACTGCACACTATGTTTCAGGGACACACTGGTTTCGAGGTTGTGCACAGAAATCACACCGCGACACACATCACCGGTGAGCTTGAGGTGACCGCGAAGCGGCAGCGGTCCTTTGCTGGTGTTGATTTGAAAGTCCGACAGCAGTTTCTGAACCACCTCATTATTCTGCGTGCCACAGATGATGATGTTTTGCTCCCAATTGGGAGAAATGGTGATGTCATTCATGTGCTGCCTACCGATGAGTTGGGAAATGGCAGCACCGAGCTCACCTTGCTGAAACGCTGCCTTGAGGGCTACTGTGATGCGTGGCTTAAGCATGATCACGTAGTCGCCAGGATTCATCCTGACCGTTGGTTTCGGCGTCCACTTGGAGACTGGTGAAGTCTTTTGTGGAGCTTTAGGAGATAGAGCGCAAGCATCTCCAGTGCAGACGCTCCTTCCGCGTTTCTTCGGCGGCAACGCCGACCCTCGACGAGTTGAAAAATGTCAGCTTGCTCCGCCGAAATGGTGGATGGGTCGTCGTCTGATGGATTTGTCGGGATATACGACCACGACAGAGTCGTAGGGTCGTAGCCACGTTGTTCAGGCAGCGCCATGTTGAGGAGTTGACCGAGCGGCGTCTTTGCATCCAGCAGCGGCGGAGCCGCAGCCGTGAGGCTTAGCTCGTTCGCTAAGTTGTGATGCAAAGTTGCTTGAAGTGGCCGAAAATTGGACGTACCTGGGTAAGATCGGTGTCTCCAGAATCTTGCTGACTTTGCAGATGCAGTCGCACAAGTTTTAGAGCAGCCACATTGAAAAGAGCCCGGTTCCAGCCGAAAATCGACGGAGCCGATGAGCGTCGCGTCCGATCACTTCGCGAAGCGCCCCGTAATCCTCGGTGTGGTTAGAGCTGATGTTTTGAGCAACAGACTTCTCTTCTTGAAGGCATGAAGAAGATGAGTTTGCTTGTAGAAACATCGTGTTGAAACATTATTTTATCTTTTCAAGTTTCGACACACTACAGTGCAAGGAACACATAGAACACAAATGATTACATTCGCACGCTCTTCATCGTCATTTGAGTACCGTTTGTACGTTTCTTATGTCACAAGAGTGTTATAATTGTGTAACAAAGCCAACTCGCTACCTAACCTCTTCGAAAGTCTACCTCCTTCTGAACTTCTGCATTCACTAGAAGAGGTTCCTGAACGCAACTCGCAGCAGCATGCTCCCACACTTCTACTTGCTGAGCATTAGAGACCAATGTGCACGAAAGACCCGAGAATAAAGTTTTTCAACCAGTAAAAAATAAATAAATAACATCTTAAGAAAGGTCAAAAGCACACACCATATATTTAGAGCTTTCTTGAATGTCTGAATGCTTAACTCTCTGCTGAAGAAACTTCAAGTCGATGTGATGGAGTATAAAACAGTGGGGCACGAGAATGGGATTCTGAGTACCTTACTGAGGCAAAGTAGCTAAAGGCCTTAGAAACGAATAAATATAAGCAATACAGAGGAAGGTTTGATATGATCAACAATGGTTTAACAAGATGTTAGTAGGCAAGCCCATTTGTTGAAATGTCTTCTGCAAAAACACTTGTGAGAGCTTTATTTAACGCCAGTACGCGTTGAAGTGTACTGATATTCAATTTCCATATGTTCCGTTAGAAATAAGAAACAGTCAATGCACTTCGCTTCCCAAATTGCGTCCTACCCATTGTGAGAACTTAAATACTTGTCACTGTCCTTCATAAAGCAAAATGCAAATGTAAGTACTTTCGGTGCCGGAGCCACAGCACAGCATTGCCCACCACAACGCATGCTCTACAAAAGGTCAGCAATGCAACGGTAAAAACAAAACCATCGTTTTGCCTTCATGCTAGTGCATTCCATTATTTCTACATTCGGGCTATTAGGCGTCTCATTTGCAATCAAATTGACACACGTGGAGGCGTAAGAGAGCACTTGTTTCAGAACGATATCTGCGCCACGAGAAACTCTGCGATGAATAGTCGCAATGAACGACGTCGGCATGAATAAGTGGTCACCTTAAATTATTAGCCACTGGCAAAGAACTGGTGGCTAATCAAAGCATAGATGTAAAAACGCTTACACGGTAGCGCCTGAAGACCTGTCACGCACAACTTAAAGAGTAAAGGAAACGACATAAACGAAACTTCTACACCACCACTAACAGCGTTCTGGCACCATGATGACAGTGTCACCGCTGCTACCAACTGTAAACGTAAAAAAAACGTAAATAAACACTTAATAAACCACATTAAAAGACAACAACTTCTACAAAATTACATCATAAATTGCACATGCAATAATGAAAAAAAGTTTTGTTTTGTTAAAGCCCAGGAGGCATTTGTTTGTGCGCTTCTTATCATCATCATCATTTGTTAGTAGTCGCAGCTTCAGTGCCTCAGCTGTTAGCGCACAAAATTCCGTCGCCGCTCTTATTTGAGACACTTAATGTTAAGGTCAGTGTTTTAATTATAAACTCGACAAGCATGAAGACGAACCCGAGACCCTCGATTGATTTCAGCCGTGACCGCTTTCCATTCTGTATCGTATGGACACCGATTCCTTGTCTGACGTGAGTTGGTTTCAGTTACGTAAACTGTCAATCGCGCGCTAACGCTGTCGTAGTCATGTAGGCGACACACTGTCAATCAAGCTCGCTTCTGGACGAGCGTTGCTGTAAGGTCATCGTAAAGCGTAGGTTTCTCTTGGAGAGTTCGCGCGCCAAGCTCGTCATACATTCAACTCAGTCATGTTTGTTCTTGTTGCTTGTGAGACTTTCGTGTTCTTGGAAGAAATACTGCTGTATGATTTTACGCTAGAATACTCAGAAAGCTTTATCTAGATAGCAGTCGTGGTGAACCGGAGTGCAACCGCCGTGTCGAGGATAAAAAGAAGGAAACACGAGGGACTGACTTGTAAAAAAGTAAACTGGTTGTAAGTCATCGCCTTGCGTGTCCTTATCTTACTGATCTCGATTGTGGCGCAGCGATTCACCATGCATCGTTTACTAGCCCAGATTTTCTTATAACTGGAGAGTAATATTTTCACAGAGTGTGTACAACCGATTGTGAATAATTGAACGCATAAGTGCCACTTAAAAAAACCAAGCCAGTCAAGCCGCAAGCGATCTTTATCTGCTTTGCACAAGACGCCATTTCAGTCATTCTATAACCGAGCATTTTTTCTGCGCACCCTTGAAGCATGATATTCCTCCATTTCAGTTTCTATAATGAAGCGGAAATAGCTTTTTGTGGGGATGTGGGGTGGGGAGTAATGCTACTAATCCAGTATAACCCATCTTCGTCACTGTGCAGGTGGCTTTGTCCCTTGATAGGGCACATGGGCATATGCATGTCCAGTGGTGTTATACGGGACTTTGCAGGACCCTACTTCGTATCTGTAAGTCTAAGCTAGTACTGTGGACATTGCTTACTGTTTTTGAATTCTTTGTTGTAAGTCGAAGGAAGTACCGTGAGTATCACTTACTGTGTTTGAATTCCTTGCAGGAGGACCACATGGCCTTTGGTCGGCCTACAAAGTAAGCCTCCGCATGCTGAAGTGACATGCATGTGATTGAAACATGTCTGGTGCAGGTACTGGATGCTGGATCCCAGCAAAGCCAGAGACGGAGTGCAGGGCTGGGACAGGGGCGTTACAGAAGGCTCCGAGGAGTACAGAGGTCACATGGTGGGCATGCTCTAAGTTATGCTTATGAGAGCAATGCTGATCTTTTTGTCTTTGAAAAATGGAACGTCCGCCGAAAAGCCTTGTTAAATTTGGATGCAGTGTGGCCAAGATTGTTAACAAAGAGAAAAAGTGTTCAGTCAGCTGCTCACAAGTCTTATAGGTCACCATCAACAATGAAGCACATTGTGCTATGCAGCCATGCTTAAGTACAGCTTCATGCTTTGTATTGCAGCTTAGTAGTGGACCTGATCATATAGCTCAAAATCTTGCATAGCTATGTTTGCTGCTTGATGCAAGCCCAGAGTAGAGTCAGTGGAGGTTCGGTCAACTGAAGCATGTAAAGCCTGTTCAAAGAAAATTTACCAAGGCAAGCTCATTGAAAAGATTGTTGGCATGAAGTAATGTAAGTAGATAAGGAGACTTATTTTATTTGTTTGGTCTAAACTTGGTACTCAACTAAACACATATTTTCTTTCAAAAATTTTCTTTGGGAAAATTTACATTCATTGCATTGCCACCGGTTTGTGAAAACGGCAGGGGGAAGACCTATTACCTGGAAGCAATACATTGTTCTGAAAAAATTTCCAGAAGAAAAGGTGTAATGCTGCACACTTATGTGATGTGACTTCCAATTTTTACCTTAATGCACCTATGGAAATTTATAAGGATCGATCAACAGCTTTGTTTACAACCTGTTAAACACTGCTGCTAGTAAGTTTATGTGAAATGAAGGCTGAATTTTTAGTCATATTTGGGAACTTGTCAAATATGAGGAAGTCCAATGTGAAACTTTGACAGAAGCTATTGCATAAAATAGCATCTAGTGCATGAAACTTTTTGCTAATTATGACCAGGAAAATTTTGTGCTAATTATGCACAGGAAAAGCTGAATGAGCCCAACACTTGAAAATAATTAGGTTTTGAGAGGCCCCCTAAATCGGCTATTATTGCTTTGAGATCTCAGGAATGGGGAGAGATAGGCAATTAAGTGCTCAGTGGAAACAATGAAAACTAAGGTGCTCTACAAAGGGCACATACCTGCTTGAGATTCGTAGCGCTAATGCTGCTTTACTTCCATTCAAAACACCAATACTTAAGCTATAAATTTATGGCGCAAAATATGACAAATCTTTATATAAAATTCTAATAGATAACTCCACCAAAGTCTGCACATTACTGGCAGCAATCAAAAATCCCGGAATTTTACATAGCTGCTTTATACTTAACATGGGAACCTTAATAAATTGACAATGTTTTTTGGGGAACAATCAGTAAGTTTTAATGTTTACAAAGGTGTATTATAACTGAAACTTGGGCACTGCTATCTTTTGATATGGCCCTTCCAAGGAAATCAATAGCAGAGCTGTGAAGCACTAAATTCTCAGAGTTTAGAAAGTTTGTTTTGCCAAGTGTACTTCTATAAAAAAGTATGTTTTAGTGAAATATTAGAAATGCCACAAATTAAGATACCTCGGTAACACTTTATATACTTGTCTGGTGGAAAAAGGTGAAGAACATGCCTCAAAGTGGATGTGTCTTTGTTGTGACCTGCATCACATATTGTGTGTGGAGAAGAAAGCTACCACCCAGTACAGCTTCTCACACGATGCAAACTTCAACATTAGCAACACAATGTACACTGTTTAATTTAGAATTCAGTTCGTTGCAATATTTGAGCTTGCAATATACATATTAGTAATTGGGTGTTGTTTGCACTGAACGCTCTAGCAAGTAGGCGCTACAAGACCAGGCAAGCGGAATTTCCTGTAGACACACAGGACACGTCGCTGACAACTTCATACGCTTGTTACGTTGTCTCAAGGTGGGCTCTTTGCACTGAAACGGCACAATGATACATCTTTTTTAGTTGAACTTGTGCAATTAAGAGTATAAGTAGTAGTTGACAGAGGGCAGGGCTATGGCCATTGTTCACTCTTCCCGACACATTGGGCTCCCATAAACACCAAAGCTAGTGTGGCAGTAGATTCACACAAATGTTGTAGTGCAATGAAAAATATCTACTCAGGGACCTTACCAAAAAGGTCCGAAATACACGTGGCGTTGCAAAAGAAGGTTGCGAGCATGGTATGCTATTTTAATCGTTAGTTCTATGACCCATACCAAGAATCAGACAGCAAACTTGGAGGGCATTTAGTCATTTATATTAAACAATAACTATAGTAGAAACAAAAATTATTTATGATTAAAGTACCGTAATCAAATTTGTACTAAATAGCGAGTTCCAGTTATACTGCTGGTCTTTGTAGGGCGTGCTTTTGAACACTGTTAGTGTGCACGCCCTGCTTCGAAGCTGTTTACTTCTTGTGATTTGACATTGAAGGTGGGCCCTGGTTTTCAGTCGAGTCTGTGCCATAATCATAGGGGCTGTTGTCAGGCCAGGAGAAATTGTTGCAGAGCTTTTTTTTTTCTTTGCCCATGCAGCACAATCTGTTCTGCGACAACTGCCACTCGCACGTGGCCCGCTGCCTCAACCTGATGCAGTATGGTAGCAGCACACGGTGGAACATGGTCAAACTGGCAGTTATGATGCCGCTGCACGCCAAATACGTCAGGTTAGCACTTGCCTTTGGGCGAAACCACCAATACGCATGTGAATTGCATTGTTATATTGTTTGCATTGCATTTTATATTGCATTGTTATATTGTTTATCATTTTCTCTTTACTTGTGATACCCATCCCTCATGTAATGTCCCTCGGGACCCTTGAGGTACCAATAAAAAAAACAAAAAAAACACGTTACGCACTATATTGATACGCAACAGCCGGCACAGCCTGTCTGCAAGAAAGAGAAAGACGACGTTGGTGGCTGGTTGTTGATGAACTGTCGCCATCTTGTTCGCCGAGCACGGTGCATCGTATTTAATTTATTAAATAAGTTACCCGTAACATTATTGGTGGAGGTGGACGACTCCCGTACCTCGATGGAGATGCGAAGCGGTCGCAACACCGGGGACTCTTCGGCTACTTCAACTGCCAGTGCCTTATCCCCACCGGTCTCTCGATCCGAGTCGACAACCTACGTCACCCTGCCACCCCTGCGGGATCCTGGAACTTTCTCCGCTGACGGCACCATCGACGTTGACTCCTGGCTGCACCAGTACGAGCGAGTCAGTGCTACCCACCACTGGGATCCCATGCTCATGCTCGCCAATGTTGTGTTCTACCTCGACGGCACGCCGCGGACATGGTTCGAAACCAACGAAACCGAAATCACAAGCTGGGATCTTTTCAAATCGAAGATCCGTGATCTTTTCGGCGATTCATCTGGTCGTCAGCTCGCTGCCAAGAAGACTCTCGCCACTCGCGCCCAGACGTCTACTGAATCGTACGTCTCATACATTCTTGACGTCTTGGCGCTTTGTAGCAAGGTCGACCAGCGCATGTCAGAAGAAGAAAAAGTTAATCACGTCCTCAAAGGGATTGCTGACGATGCCTTCAACCTGCTGGTTTTTAATAATGTCACGAGCATCGACACGATCCTGACAGAATGCCACCGTCTAGAACAGGCTAAAGCCCGCCGCGTCACCCATGGCATCACGCGCCTGCCGAACACAGCTGCTACTTCCTCTTGTGATGACTCCGTCCGCCCAGTTCCCCGATGTGACAACCTCACCCGCATCATTCGTCGTGAGGTCGAGGCAGCCCAACCAGTAGCTACTCCATTTCCAACGCCTGATCCTTCACCGACCACTATCTCACTGATACAAGCCGTCGTTCGTCAAGAATTATCGAACGTCAGTGTATTTAATTTATTAAATAAGTTACCCGTAACAATATTAACATCGGTAATAGTTGTATATTGGTAATGTGACAATTTAAAGTTGCCCTGAATTACCTTTCTAAGTAATGACCGATTGGCCTCAGTATGACAGTTTAATGCCTCACAAATCGATTGCTGCATTTTTTTTGAATTTGTAAAATACGAACATGACAGAAGAATTTGTCGCACTAAAAGGGGGAAAAAGCTACATTGTGTGTGTGCATCGTGACCTGTAGCATGAGTCAAAAGATGTGGCCTATCTGTTAATGTTCCAGTGTGTGCTGGTGTTGCTACTATTAATTTAGCTCATTATAGAATGTGTTGTCCAGCACATGATTGCACCTTATTGCATAAAGTGCATCTGATGCAAATGCTGCCCTAGGTTTGTCAGCTATCGGCTGAAAGCAGCAATCTCTTGTCTGATGGTCCTGAAAAAAGGGTGTGCTTGAGGCTCCACTTACCGATTTTTTCATGCCACACACAACTGAAAGATTTGGCTGACCTTTCCACAGCAGTGTATGCTTTCCACTCCGTCTTTTCTTCGAGCAGGAGGGCTGGTTCAGGACCCGTTAAAATAAAGTACACAACGCATCGATAGGGCCCAGAGGCAAGAATAAAGTCCAAAGCCACCCTCTTTTTTTGCTGCTTTTTGTGTGTGTGCATCTCCAAAGCAGGGGTGGAACAGAGTACATGGGTTTCGGAGCAGTCTTGGGAGCAGGAAAAAGTGCCCTTTGTAGCAGCCAGAAAGACGTTTTGTAGCAGGCTTGGTGCCGCAGAAGGGTCTTTTTCAGCGAGTTTAGAACAGTCAAAACATTCAAATGTAGCCCTGTTATGCAGCACTTGTAAAGCAATATTCGTCCAGTACTGCATTTTTCAAACACTCCTCTAAATTGTGTAATAGCCTTATTATTGCGATTGGAACTATGTGGGCACTCTCGGCGGTTTTTCGCCATTGCTGTCATGTCTCATATAAATACAAATTTATAGCATACCCCAGTGCATCATGTGTTTCATTCATAGGTAAAAGCACGTGAGTGGGGGCAACAAGCACGGCTGAAGCAGAGATTGCACAATCCGGCCTATCTCTGTTGCTAGGAAGCTACATGCGATAACACCCCCAAGAGGGGGGGCGCTTGAGCAACAACCGAGAACATTGCTTCTAAGGACATGGCTGCAATCTCTAGCGTGCATGGCTTGCTCGGCTCCCATACGCTTCTACGTGCTTCACTCTCATTGCTCGCATCGCGAAAAGGATGCGCAAGAAGTATTGCTTTTCCTGAAGTATCCATATTCTCGGCGTGAAATAGGCAAGAACGTATTCAAAAGAGTTGGCAGCCAGCCTCACTTTGTATAACATTACAGTTTGTTGCTATTTCATTCGTTGCTTTGGCTTTGCGGTGCCACTGTGACATATTTAGCTATGTGCATCTGCCCATTCTTTGAAACCTGAACATGCCAGCGTCAGCCGCCGGGTCGGCAAGCCCTGTATAATGGAGCACAGTGCCCAATTAATGAGAATACATCCGATGAACAGTCCTATGCACCGGTCTTTGCTTGGCTGATCCGGGAACTAGACACCACCCTTTCTTCTTTTGAGCACAATTACTGTATGTCATCCTTTTTTCCTTTCTGAACACTGCCATCAAGTTATAAAACAAAAAGTTTTGTTCATCGGAAGAGCGAAACAATGAATGCGACAGCAAAAAAAAAATTGTAAGGCTGGCAGCCAACTCTTTTATTGCGCAATTCAACAAAATGTTGGTGTAAGCAATACGGTCACGCTAAGAAGAAATGCTCCTTTGGCAGTCTCTTTGCGTTAAAAGCGCAGCGCATAGAAGTGTTCACAAACATTCATGCCGATGCCTGCCGTGATGGCACGCGCGCTTAGCAATCGCGACCACACCCTTAGAATCAGTGTTCACGACTGCTGCTGGAGCGATCACAGCTTTCACGAAACTGAAACGATGTTTTATTAAGACGCTTCTGGGCACGGGGCTTGGTGGTTTTTACGTTTTGTGGCTAAATTTGGATGCTGCGGCGCAGCATCCAAATTTAGGTGGTTCGGCCTAGGATGGCACAAGTAAATAGTAAGTTTGGCGCACAATGGTACAGCTGTTCCACCTCTGCCAAAGCTGAAGTCTGTGTGCAGAGGCGGCAAGTGAAGCATCCATCAGGCATTACATTTGAGTGCAACTTTATTATTGTGAGAGCATTTACGTGTAACCTTCGATCACTGTGATTGGAGGTCTCACGATTTCAATTGCTGTGATTGAATTGTTTGAATTGCCGCTTTCGAGACATTCGGCATTCTTCATGGACACGCTGCACCATCCATCATGAAGAAAAAAAAGCTTTTTTTCTTATGTAGTTTTTTTCTTCTTCCCACGTGGCTTCAATTTCTTTATGCCAAAGTTGCCAGATTCGTCAAATGGAAAGCAAAAATTTTCGCCGCTAAAAACGTGCATGCACATGCTTCAAAACATAGCAAATCATTGCATTCCTGTTAGTTTACACCTGATCTAACGAGCTGCAGTGAGACCGAAAATACTGCGGTTTGGCCAGACTTTGACTCCGACAGCAGTGACGATGAAAACTACCCTGGAACATCAATAAGCTTTGCTATCTGCCTCGAGCTGTCTTATTTTACATTTCAGTACGAATTCATCAGGATGAGAACTTGAAAAAAAATGCAGGAGTTGCAAAAAATGTGAGTTTACTGCAAGACATGTAACTAACATTATGCTATGCCTTACATTGAGGAAGTGCTCATTTGCATGAAATGCCCAGTTGCATTCATTGGTCATGAGTTCGACCTAAGCCTCACGGCAGCTAAGCAGAGTAACCACTGGTCCACCATGGTAAACAGAAGAAACAACTGGTCAAATACACCTTAACCACCGAATAAAAATGTGGTGCTTGCTCTTGTTTGTGACAGCATTATCTTTAATTTGTAAATAACAACACACAAACGAAGCCAGACTTCTACGTGTGACGACACCACAGAGCCACATAGCACAGCTGCTGATGAAGCGCCTGGCTGTGTTCAACTTGGAGAAATCCCACGTAGTGATATGGGCACACTTTTTACTACACACAGCACATGGGCTCTCATCAGGACCTGGCTGCCCTCAATTCTGCTGCTGGTGGGCCTGCTGCTGCTGCTGTGGCTGGTGCCAAAAGCGTAAGCCGCTGGAACAAGCCCCGGCCTAGGTAGTCGGCCACCACCGAGAAGCCATCCTCAGAGCGCTCCAGCTGCACAGTCAACCAACATTGATGTCACCACACAAATGCACCCTACCTGGCCTCCGAAATTTCGGATACTTGAGATGTTTACGCAGCTGGCGCACAGCAAAACTGAAGTTGCACAGCTCAAAAAGTGGCTTTACCCTGTGCCATAAAATTGTCTGATTTTCTTTTTCTTTCCAAGATTGTATTATGAAAATGCTCACTGTAAGCTTGAAATTATCAGTGAAGTTTCAATGTCAAGTCTTATAGAATGGGACATGGGCACTTGCATGACTGGCGTCTTTCAATTTTTCAGGCACACATAACTGTATTGCAGCTCGTATGTTATGTTTGTCAATAATCTTTTTAGCAACCATGTTTACGTTAGAGTATTGTTTTTTTATGGGACCATTTACACATTTCATCATCACAGGCAACTACAGCAGATTATGATGACAGGGAGGTTGTGAGACTGCTCGTAATCAATGTAATGCAGTGTGTCTATGCTAGCCTTGAAGAAGCATGGCTAGAGCGCTAGCTGTGCGGGCAATTCAGCAGCGAGCTTCAAGGCAGCTGCGCTGTTTTGAGCTCTGTTGTGTGAATAATAAGATCACACTGAAGGGCTTTTTCAAATGGAATGGCCAATATACAATGGTGTCCCTGAATGTTGCAAATCCGTTTTGCGAAACCTCGCAAAGTGGTGGAAGGGTTAGGAAAGGAAAATTGCAAGCTTGTGCGAATATTTGAATGCTTCGAATATTTTAGAAAATAGTAGAGTATTTGAATTCTCTTCGATTTGAATTTTTAAATTATTGTAAGTTCGAAGTATTCGCAATGAAAGTATTGCTGTATATTAGTCCGCATGTAACGACTTGTAAAGGTAGTTTTACAGCACTGTCGTATTGCTGAGCTGTGAAAGCAACCAACCAGGGGAAATACTTTGCTGCGAAGCCCCCCTTCACATTTAAAGGGGCCCTTCAACACTTTTAGAGCATGGTTAGAAAAGGCTCCCGATCGGTAGTCGAGGCTTCCGAGGACACGCGAGCCAAATATTATAGCGCAGCACGGGTCCTGAAATTCACAACATGATCTCAAGGCCAGCTGAAAATCGCTCTCTTCTCTCGGCAAATGACACCACAAGCTCAAAAATTGCTCGTCACAGTCATTGCAGCAGCCATTGGATGATTTGAACATGACGCGCTCGATCGTCACTGGGGCCGCAGCGGGGAGGTCGTGACGTGTCCACGCAGGCACGCGCGATCACGCCGAAAAGCCGCATAATAGAAGAAAAAAAACGAGGTGCTCATAGTCACGAGGTGCATGTGACGTATTTTCTTTTGCTGTGCCATTCCTCCCTGCTTGGTTTCCAGCACCAGTGTCAGAACGAGAAGACAATGCAATTGCAGCCGATGAGAGTTGCAATGTGGGCTAGTTGGTGATGCATATGAAAGTTATATATCATAACCACGCAGTTATCTGAGTGAATACACGTGCTTATCTGTCTGCCTGACGATTATGGCTTAAAAGTGGCTTGGTGTTCGAAAATAAACATGTTGCTTGTAATGCCCTGTCCTGTCAGTCTATTCCTTCCTATTTCCGTATTTCGCCTCGTGCTAAAGGAAAATCCCTCCATATGCAACTGCAGCGTGTGAAATATCTTTGCAACTCCGCTTGTACTGGATGGATTCTAAAAACTTTGGCAGTGGTGAATTTATGAGGTAATAGGCTTCTTTAGTGAATCCATCTCATGGCTACTTGAGAAAGTGTTGCAGGGCCCCTTAAAATGAACATATTGCCCTCAAATCAATTCATTTTGTTAAGCTTAAAAGCTTATGACTGCTTATTTGCTCTAAATATAATACATTTTAAAATATTACGTATTTTACAGGCTTTGACTCTCATCCTGCCGAAAGTCAAATTCTTCTACTACTCAAAGTAGTCTTGACTTCGTTTGAACTAAAAAAAAAAGAAAGATTTGCATAGAGGCCTTATTTCAATATAAAAAAAATATTGTGCAGGTTACTTAGGTCATGATAAATATGCCCCTTATTCATTGCATGTCATATATACTATTCGAAATTATTCGACCAAAATCACTATTCGCTTTGAATACGCTTCGAACCTAAAATTCTAGACTTGTATGTATAGTGAATTTCAGGTTCGAAGCGAATAGTGATTTTGGTGGAATAATTTCGAGTTGAATCCGGATGGAATATAACGTATAAAGAAAAATGGGCATATATTAACCTGCAATATATTCTTTTTTTTTTTTAAAGGCCTCTATGCAAGAGCTTTCGTTATTTTTTTCCGTTCGGAGGAAGTCAAGACAACTTTCAGAAGTAGCAGGAATTGACTTTCAGTAGAATGCAAGTGATAACCTCTAAAATACGTAATGTTCATTACAGCTATAGTGTATAAGCCGACAAAAAAAGCTTTTAAGCTTAAAAAATGATCAATCGATTTGAGGATATGTTTACTTAAAAGGACCCTGAAACAGTTTTTGAAGTAGCCATGGGATGAATTCAGTAGAGAAG